ATGGACACCTCGATGGACTCTCAGACGTCTGTAAATTTGATGTGGAAGTCAGAGAATATCAGGGAATTGCACAAATAAACAATAAATTGAACAACAACAATGTGTTGTTGATGTTTCTTTTTAAGCTAAAAAAACAACAACCCCAAAGCAAACATAGAAGGAATACACATTTTTAATCATGAACATGACATTGGGAGTGTGTTTCCTGTACTTTTTGCAGGCAGGTGGTGTAATTAGGTGGCATGAGTGGATACAATTACAGCCCCTGTGCACCATAACATGAACACACCCTGTAAATAATCCCCCCTCCTGTTTTTCTCTGTGTCAGTCCTGTGGCTGTGTATGCTGGAGCCCTTCTTCCAATAAAGACAGTGCATGTGTGGCTGCAGGATACAACGATGGGACCCTGAGGATCTTCCGGCTTGCCTCCTCAGAGATGGAGATGAAGCTACATCCTCATAACATTGCTGTGACTGCCATCCAGTACTCTGTCACTGGTGAGAGAGGACACCAGTGCCAAAAACCTATGTATTTGCAGTGATTGTACTACTTGCTCTGCAGGAGTTACTTCATAATGAAATATTGCAATTGTATTTTTTGGGCCACCTCACATTTAAACAACTTGTTTGACCCAATAGGTCAGTATTAATGGTCAAACACTAATATTGTGTCCTAAAACAATGAATAAATTATCAAAGGACGTGTTGAAGCACTTTCCTTCAAACCCATGATCGAACTTATATGCTGGCATGCTAAGTTTCATGTTGTAAAGCTGCCTTGTGGTTTCTGCCCTCTCTCCCTACAGGTCATGTGATACTTTCAGCAGGGAAGAATGGTCTGGTAGCTGTCAGCAGCCCAGTGAATGGAGCGACTATCCGTGTCATCAGGGACCACAAAGGAGCGCCGATTACCACCATCCAGTGTGTGAATGAACAGGTCAGCTCTCTGAATCAGACCAAGGAGTGAAGTTTTAACAGAGCTTAACATGGCAGCCCAATAGAAACTGATAAGCAACATTTACAGTGACAAAATATGGGCCTGAGAGTTCACTGCTGTGTTGTATCTGTAGAATGTTTCGATAGTGTATAATCACCTGAAAATAAGAATCCCGAACAGACAAACAAAACACTGCCTTAAAATAGAGGCTTTAGTGTTTTTCACGAGTTTTGCCACCACCGTAGTCTCTCCTACACACTTGAAACCCTAAGCTGTATTCAGATGTTTGCAAACTGCTAGATGCCACTGAATCCTATTCACTGGTCCTTTAAAGAGCCACATGGACTCTGTTTTAAATGCTAATTGGTCATCTGTCTTCCTGAATAGGTATACATATTTTATTTTGAAATGATCTTTTCAAGTCCGCTTCACTTTTCA